TTGACGTTTCAATTTCCACTTCGGCTATGCTATGATTTTTTCTGACGGGTATTTTCAAGTTAACCTGGTTAGGCCTGGTCGATCAACAACAGATCAGATCTTTGTGCTAAGGCAAATACTGGAAAAAACCAATGAATTCAATATCGACACATACCATCTTTTCGTAATTTTAAATCGGCCTATGATAGTGTCCTAAGAAATAAATTGTATGAAGTCATGGATGAACTCCACATCCAAGATAAACTGATAAGATTGGTTAAGGCCAATGCGTAAAGTTGTTCACCAAAAAGAGCGTCATGACGGAAGAAATCGAACGAAGAATAATCCTAGCAAACAAATGCTATTTTGGTTGAGTAGACATATGAGAAGCAGAAACTTGCCAAAACACAAAAATAACCATATACAAAACCCTTATACAACCTGTGTTGACATATGATCCTGAGAAGAATATTCGGTGGCATCTGTGAAAATGGTGTTTGGATAAGGAGGTACAACTACTGGATATAATTACAGATATAAACATATATTTGGTGGTAAAGACTTAGTATCTCTTATAAAAATAGGAAGACTAAGATCACAGCAAGATCACTGGCAAGATCACAGCAGAACAACCCTCCTAAAATGTCACATCCTGTGAAGTCACAACGTGGTGGCAAAACTAGATGAGGATGGGTAGATAGATGGTAGAAAAATAGGCGCAGCAAATTGGTAACAGTTGACAACGGATAGAACTGACTGGTGTAATAGACTTGGGAAGGTCGAGGCTCTTTTATAGGTCTGTAGCACCAATGATGATGATGATTTTCAAGTTAAATTTGATTTGATGTAATCGGATGAACTATCTTACAATAAAGTCGTCCCAGAAACTCAACTCAATATTGACAATATAATTTTAAAGTCGTCTACTTTAAAATGGAGTTCTATGGAGTAAAGAAATATCAAAGAAAATAAAATGGAACATCTATGAGACAATGGTTAAAACTAGCCTACTTTATGGAGCTGAGACATGGAGAATAACCGAGAAATATAAGAAAAAGGTCGAAGCCACGGAAATGGATGCCATCAGAAGATCGATGAGAATATCAAGAGCCGACAGAATACGGAATGAAGTGATAAAACAACAAATGGGTATAGAGGGCACTATAGTTGAGGATATTGAGAGAAAACAGCTCATATGGTATGGGCATGTGAGCCGAATGGGGGACGAAAGATTGCCTAAAAAAACGATGATGTGGCAACCCCCAGAGAAGAGGAAACGAGGAAGACCACCACAGAGCTGGAACCTGGGAGTTAGGAAAGCGATTAGCGCTCGAAATCTGGACGAAGACCTAACTCAAGACAGAATACAGTGGCGTTTGGGAGTCGGACAACGTCGTAAGACGTTATAAAACCGAATATATATACTACTTTAAAATGTATAATGTATGTCTGAATTATCAGATGAGTCAGATAAAAATAAACTATTAGAAGAATTTTTCACTATGTAACAAAAAACAAAACTTGTTTAATTTATGAATGTTTTGTATTTTGAGAACGATTTCCACAGTGGAAATTAAAATGTCATAAAATAAACTTAAATTGTGGTTTATTCTCAATAAAAATAGTAATTGCATTAAGATGTCACAAGAAAATAGCTTCATAACAATATGAACAAAAAAATATATAAAAAATCAAATAGATATTTATGCTTTATTTACATAATATGTATATATTATCATCATCATCATCACTGGCTCGACAACCCTTTTTGGGTCTTGGCCTGTTCAAGGATTCTTCTCCATTCTGACCTGTTTCGTGCTTTTTTTTCCAGTTTTTAATTTTTAATGTTGTTATATCATTTTCTATTTGTTCTACGTATCTCAGCTTCGGTCTTCCTCTTGTTCTTTTTCCTACTGGCACTTGTTTGAATATTTTGTTTGGTATTTCGCCTTCTTCCATTCTTTCCACATGTCCAATCCAACGTAGCCTTCCTATTTTAATGAATGTTATGATATCCGGATCCTGGTATATGTTGTATAGTTCAAAGTTATACCTTCTCCGCCAAATCCCGTTTTCTTTTGTGCCCTTATATATGTGTCGCAAGATTTTTCTTTCAAAGGTGGCTAATAACGTTTCCTCCCTTTTAGAGAGTGTCCAGGTTTCTGAACCGTATGTGAGTACCGGTCTTATTAAGGTTTTGTATATTTGGCATTTTGTTTTTCTGGAGACGTTATCTGATCTTAGTTGCCTAATTAAGCCATGGTAACATTTATTGGCAATAAATATTCTCCTCTTCACTTCCTCTGCAACGTTGTTATCAGACGTAACTAGGGATCCTAAGTATGTAAAGTTTTTTACCGCCTCAATGTTGTATTCTCCTATTGTTAAATTTGGCAGCTGCCTTATTTGTGCGTTTTTATTTGCAGGCATATATTTTGTTTTTGTCTGATTGATTTTAAGACCACTATTTTTTGCAGCTCGTTCTATTTGAGTGAATGCCTCTATCATTTCTCTTCTTGATCTTGCGATTATGTCAACATCATCTGCAAATGCTAGTACTTGCACGCTTTTATTAATTATTGTTCCTCGGGTATTAACTGTTGTGTCTCTTATTATTTTTTCAAGTATGATGTTGAATAATATGCATGATAGAGCGTCTCCCTGGCGTAGTCCCTTCTTCACATCTATTGTTTCCGTTAATTCGTTTTGTATCCGGATTTTACTTTCTACTTTTAGTGTTTCTTTTATCAATTCTATTAGCTGTGTTGGTATATTAAATTCTTTCATTGCTTTTGTTAGGAATTCTCGGTTTATATTGTCATATGCGCTTTCGAAGTCTATGAAGAGATGATGTGTGTCGATGTTATATTCACTTGTTTTTTCAAGGATCTGTCGCAGAACAAATATCTGGTCTATTGTTGACTTCTGTCTACAGAAGCCACATTGGTATTTGCCAACTATTTTTTCAGCGTATGGTCTAAGTCTTTCATACATTACGTTGGACATTATTTTGTATGCCGCATTCAACAGCGTGATTCCACGGTAGTTTTCACATTCTAACTGGTTTCCTTTTTTATGTAGTGGTACAATAATGCCGCTATTCCACTCCTTTGGTAGCTGTTTATTCAACCATATCTTTCTTATCAGCTCATGTATGGCTTTAAGTAATGCGTCTCCTCCTTCTTTCAGTAGCTCCGATGATATTTGATCCGATCCCGGTGATTTATTGTTCTTTAATTTGTCCACTGCTGTTCTAATCTCTGCTATTGTTGGTGGACTCTTTTCTCTGTTGTCTGCTTGGTCTAACGGTATATCAGGGTTCATCTCCGTCCTATTCACCCCAAGCTTTTCCTTAAAATGTTCTGTCCATCTTCTAAGTATCTCTTGCTGTTCTGTCAATATATTACCCTCCTTATCTTTACACATCGTTGTTCTCGGTTTGAACTCTTTTCTGCTTTTGTTGAGTTTCTGGTAAAATTTTCTTGTCTCTGTTGGTTTACTTAGTTCTTGTAGTTCTTGAAGTTCTTTGTTGATATATTCTCTCTTCTTTCTTCGGTGAATTTTCTTTTCTTCTTTACGTAGTTGTTTATATTCTTCCTCTGCTTGTCGGGTTCTGTGCCTCTGTTGCATCTGTAGATATGCTCTGTTTTTTCTTTCTGTTATAGTTTGACATTCTTCGTCAAACCAGTGATTCGTTCTTGTTCTTCTTTCTTTACCTTTATGTATATACTTTATGTATATATTATACTGTACTGCAAAATTATTTAGAAAAGTAGTATTGTCTAGACGATTGCTGTGCTGGTAATTCTCTAATCTCGAACAAAAATTTGTACATTACCCCGATTGCATTAGTTTCATCGGTTTGTTTCAGTTATCCTCACAGAAAATAGCAAGGAATGAGATCAGATCTACTAGGAGGCCAGTTAACGTCTTATTTGTAAAGTGACTCTGTCATATTGGAATCATGTTCTTGTGTTGGATCTATGAAACTATTGGACCAAAATGCCTCTTAACATTTTATAGTAACATTAAGTATTTACAACGAGTGTTCTCCCGAGTTGGTCTACGTGTAAATACGAACTTATAATGCTTTTAAACAATGAAGGGATCACTGATGTATGTATTTTGAATTTTCATTTGTCCAACAGCGAAAAGTCTGTAAGTCAAACACAACGTTTTCAAAGTTACTAAACTTTTGTAGCAAATCTTGATCGATTAGCGTAATCAGCATCTTACTAATATTGTCTCAACAAAAGTTTTACTTCAAAATTAACTGCCACATACGTTTTTTTTTTCGTTGTGTCTTCTTTTGCGAATAAATACCAACGGATATTGTCTAACAACGATCAGAAAGCCTTCTGCTCTACTCCCCCGTATTTCAACTAAATGGCTTATTATACACCTTCCATTGCCTATTATACAAGCCTAGCTGCTTCGTCAGATCTGCTATAAAGGCTACAGTTTGAAAATTAAACAAAAAACAGAAAACGAAGAGAAATTCAGAAAATCATAAACTTTATTGCGCACAATCTAAGTTTCTAATTAAAATACCTAAAAGTGTTGTCCATAATATACTTAAACAGAAGTAAAATAGCTGTTATGCGATAAAAACGCTCTTTGGCTGCGTTACAGGTCCTCGGCGGTATGTATTAGACTTACATGTTATGGTACCAAATCTTGGAAACTCTTTCGCCGCTTTATATTTATAACTTGTGGGATGTATCAAAAAGAGAGATCATTGATTGTGACATTACTTACCTCCAGGTTTATATACGACCTACTTCTTTTAAAAAATTTAAAGAATAACGTAAATAGCTCTGTATATACGAGATAATACCTTATAACAATTTTTCTATTGTAATTATTGATAGAATTGAATCAAAGATACATGCCTATAAAGGCGTTTCATGTAGAAAAATAAACAAAAAATAGAAAATGACAATAAATTCTGAAAATCATACACTTTATTGCGTACAATGTAAGTTTATAATTAAAATACCTAAAATTGTTGTCCATAATATACTTAAACAAAAGTAAAATCACTGTCATGCGATAAAAACGTTCTCTGACACTTTGACTGCATTACAGGTCTTCAGCGGTATGTATCACACTTACATGTTGTGGTAAAAAATTACACTTACACGCTTATATAGCTTGTAAAGTGTATGAAAAATAGAGATCATTGATTTTTAACAATACTTACCTCCGGGGATATATGTATCAACTTTTCTATTGTAATTGATAGAATTCAATCAAAAATACATTCGTATACAGACGTCTCAGTTAGAAAATTAAACAAAATATAGAAAACAATTGGAAATTCAGAAAATCTTACACTTTATTGCGTACAATGTAAGTTTATAATTAAAATACCTAAAGGTGTTGTCCATAATATACTTAAACAGAAGTAAAATCACTGTCATGCGATAAAAACTTTCTTTGATACTTTGACTGCGTTACAGGTCCTCGGCGGTATGTATTAAACTTAAATGTTGGTACTAAATCTTATAAACTATTTCGGACGTTTATGTTTATAACTTGTGAGATATATCAAAAAGAGATCATTTATTTTGACAATACTTACCTCCGGGGATATATACAACACATTAAATAACTTTTGCCAGAAGAATTTAATGCAAATAAACTTCGAGAAATAAAAGCTTCGATTGGTCATAAGTAATTAACGTTACATATACCCGGAGCCTTGTATCGTAATTCTATAATGATTATAACTTATTCCCAAGGATATTTAATACAAATAAATAATTAATGACATATTCCTCGGGATGTGTAACGTAGTTAAGTCAAAAAACTCGATTTCCGTAACGCAGTCAACGTACCAAACCAAACAACTCCGCCTCGGTCAATCACTCTCGTTTAGTTTGGCCAACAGCAGCGCCCTCTGTTTCTCTAATTCCGTCTCGCTCATTTCGCCCCTCCTTCCTTCGGACTCGCCTCGACTGACGTACTTTTCGGGCGGGGTGTTCTGTAGAAGTTCAAAAAAATCCATTAGCTGCCTTACCCCTACTGTTATTAAGTGCTAGTATAAGTTTAAAGTGATTCTCTTCGTCGGCAATTTTAACAACTATTCTTTCTTGAAGGTTTTACTTCGAGACTAAATTAAAATTAGAAAAATTCGGTTAAATTTCGAGTGCTATAACATTTTATTGCAGTTTTTACGAAGATTTACATCTGACAGATAAAATATCATAAGGAACACATCAATATTTACATAACTACTATTTTTTATCTAAATAATTTACCAAAACAAATTTATCTATTAGTGAGTCACTCTATTCTTTCATTTTTGCTGTCATAGTGCAAGATTTGGATCTACAGTGTCCAATCTATGTTTACTCTACCTTTGTTTGTCGTTCATTCCAAAAATTAGTTCATTTTTGTATTGTTCTAAACGTGTCTGTTTACGTATCTACGAAATTCTTGAACACTAGATACAAAATATTCATTTTTTACTTGTATACTTTGCACCCTACCCTCGTATAACAATTTTGAAAAAAAATTAACTGTCAAAAATATCCTATTTTAAATATCACATTTTAATTCAGTAAAATCAATCGAACAATTTAAAAATCTCTACAAGCCACTCATTTAAACCTTTGTCAATATTTTATTTCCTTAATATTACAATAATTAATAACGATCATTCACTTACAGGAGACATTTTCCTCTTATGCTTTTTCTTCGATTTCTTCTTCCGATATTCGTCTGCGCTATCTTCGGAATAAGGAGTGGGACTTTTCGATTTGTGTTTGGATTTTTTATGTTTATCGCTATCGGAATCGCTCGAAGACGATTTGTACACCTTCTTCTTCTTTTTCTTGGACTTCTTGGAACGGGAATGGTGATGGCTGCAAGATTCCTCCATTTCATGTTGGAATTCCTGCAAACATTTTTAAATAATAATAATATTAATAATAATTTATTCATCCTGAAAGATCATTTACACGATATAATTTCAGAATTAAAGGATAAAAAGTACATAGGATTATTTATTTACATCACCCAGATATTCACTTACACTGTAGAAACAATTTTGCAATAGAAAAGATTTTAATTTACCTCGAAATTTATTTAAATTCGTTTCAGATTTAATACTGTTGGGAAAATGATTGAAAAGTCTTATACCCATATAATACTGGGATTTTTTAAATCGTGTTATATTATGTTTTGGTACTCTGATGAAGTGGCCACTAAAAAATGTCAACTCCTTTTCTTTATTAATTAACAGAGTGATTTGTGTAATTGACCATTTATTTCATTTTACTGTAGTGTTTATACGGCTCATTTGATTTTTTTAATTTTTGCATGATACAGTACACTACTATCAAGCATTCGACTGGTATTAGCTAAACTAAAAAATTCCAGGAGTGGCTTTGGAAAAATTAATTTAGGAATTCGTCTTAAATATTACACCCTGTATATATATATATATATATATATATATATATATATAATATATATATATATATATATATATATTTTTTAATGCAATAAGTTATTTTCAAACTACATAAATAGCCAATGAAAACGACATATGCGACAATGTTGTCGAACTTTTATTAAATTTTTAGTGAACGATCAAATCTTACCAAAAATAGAACAACCATAATGAAGTATCAAATTATAAGGTAATTAATTTAAACAAAAATGTTATAAATTTCAAACATTTTAATTGAAATGATAAACTGAGTCACTGCACAACAAAAAACAGTAACTACTAACAATAACAAAGAACAATTTAAAAAAAAAACTAAAAATATGTACATAGTTATGATAAACCCATAAATTAGAACTGGAAAAGATACAATAATGGTAACAAAATAAAAGTAATTCAAAATAGATTTTCGAAATGGAACCCTGCAGCCTGTACATATTTTTGTTGCCGAATTGTTAATTGACGTATTGAATTACGGATACCCTGGGGATCGTTTCTAATAGTATTACAACAATGTATAATTCTATCAATTAATTGTTGTCGGTTATTAATATTCACTGCGTAAACTAGTTGCTTCAATCGTCCCCAAATATGGTAATCAACGGGATTGAAATCAGGGGATCTTGAAGGTCACGAAATAGGACCTGCACGTCCTATCCACCTGTTGCCACCACTTCAGCATGATGGGGGTGCCCCATCATGCTGAAAATATATCCCTCGGATAGCAACGTTCGTGTTGGCAAGCAAATTCGGCAAAATATTTTGTAGAAAGTTCAAATAGACCTGCCCTGTTAAAGGACCATCAAAAAAGTGAGGACCTACTAATTGGTTATTTATGACACCAATCCACACGTTAACCGAAAACCTTAACTGAGAACGACGTTCTCGAATAGCATGGGGATTTTCTTCTGCCCACACATGTGAATTTCGTGAATTATTTATCCCGTCTCTGGTAAATTGGGCTTCATCTGTAAATAGTGTCCTGTATAGCGTTGGTCGATTATTGTTAATCCATCTACAAAATTCCAACCTATCGATCTCATCTCCAGCATGTAGTCGCTGAACCATTTAAATGTGATATGGGTATAGATTATTTTTTTGTAAGACTCTACTTACTTTTGATTGAGTAACATTGAGTTCTCGACCTACTTGTCTAGTGCTTATTGTAGCGTTCATAGTAACGGCGTCCATAATGTCATCTTCCTGCGCTTCATCTACATGTCGCTCTGTTGTTCCACTAGGAAAAGTGCCATTTTCTCGCAAATAATTAAAAACTGACCCAAATGTTGGATGACTGGGAGTTCGACGATTAGGAAATCTCCTGCGATATTCTCTACTAGCAGCCCATTACAGAATCCATAAACAAATATTATTCTGTGGTCGAAAATTGATGTGGCATTTTGAACGAAAATAACAAAAGCTCTACCAAAACTAACACAATGTACTTAACGTAGATATGACAGAAGAAATATGTATTCTTGTACACATAAATAACAATTGATAATGACAATAATGACAATGGGTATAAAATATCAAGAAACGTCAAACGGTCAACGCCAACCTTCATTTTAAACTTTTGTAGATTTATTTTTATTTAGTACAGTTGATGCAAAGTATTATTATTTGACATAAAATTTTAATCATTTTCAATCAACAAAACTAACACATACAAAAGGTTTGACTTTTTAATCAATTTAATTTATTATTTATCGAAAATAATGCCCCAATACGATCTATGAGTAAAAATTTAAAAAAGAAAAACAATTGATTCTATCGTAGAGATAATACAAAGTGACAGTAAAGATATTAATTTTCTACGTATTAGATTATGTTGTAGGAACTCATTTTAATTAAAATGTTTGAAATTTATAACATTTGTTTAAATTAATACCTTATAATTTGATACTTCATTATGGTTGTTCTATTTTTGGTAAGATTTGATCATTCACTAAAAATTTAATAAAAGTGCGACAACATTGTCGCATATGTCGTTTTCATTGGCTATTTATGTAGTTTGAAAATCACTTATTGCATTTTAAAAATATATATATAGGGTGTAATATTTAATACGAATCCCTAAATTAATTTTTCCAAAGCCAGTCCTGGAATTTTTTAGTTTAGCTAATACCAGTCGAATGCTTGATAGTAGTGTACTGTATCATGCAAAAATTAAAAAAATCAAATGAGAAGTATAAACACTACAGTAAAATGAAATAAATGGTCAATTACACAAATCACCCTGTTAATTAATAAAGAAGAGGAGTTGACATTTTTTAGTGGCCACATGATATGCTCCCTGAGGGACTCTACATATGGTAGAAGTATAAAAAGTTCCTCATGACTCACCCTGGATATATAGAAGGTACTGTTAAGATGTTGCATTTTTTAAAATATTGTTGACATGAATGCCTATATGGTAAATTTAAAATTAACGGAATTATCCTTTTCTGAGAGACAAACACAAATTGTTGATTGGTTTAAAGTAAAAAGTTTGGAAGTAAAAATACGAAAAAATAAGAAAATAAAGAGACCGGGGATGAAAATAAAACAGGAGAGAAGAGGAATAGATAGGAATCAAGCAAAAGGATAGTGAATAAAAAAAAAGAAACAAAAGGTACGAAGAATCAAGAAAACAAAAATAAAAAGAAAGAAAAACGGGAATGAAAAAGGAGAAGAGAGATAAAGATAGGAATAAAAATGAAGCCAGAGAAAAAGGAGTGCAAAGTAACGTGGAAGCAATATAAAAATTAATGTGAGAAATAAGTAAAAGCAAAAAAAGCACAAGGAAGCAAGAGAAACCAGGAAAAGGGTTAGAAAGCAAAAGACAGAGTAAGATAGAAGAAAAGCGGAGTGAAGAAGAATCAAGAAACAAGTAGGAAGCCTTAAGAAACAAGAAAAATGCAAAGTCACGTGGAAGCAGAATAAAAATAAATGTATAGATGAAAAAACACAGCACCTCATAAACCTAACTCTTAGTTCCAATTTTATCCCTTGTACATCCCTCTTCTCATTTTGTTAAAATTTACTCTGGCCTTTTCTCTGTTCTGATTTTGATCTGAATGTAATTATTTATGGAGTTAATCATTGTTCCCAGATATGAATATTTGTCCACTTATTCGACGTTGGTTCAGTTTATTAGAAGATTCTCGTTATTTCTTTGAGTTTTCGATATCTCATAAATTTCATCTTATTGGCGTTCATTGTCAGACTGTACTCTTTTCCATATTCCGCTATTCTGGTCACCAGTCTCTGAAGATCTTCAATATTTTCGGCTAAGATCACAGTGTCGTCTGCACATCTAATGTTGTTAATGGCAACTCCATTTACCTTTATTCCAGCTGTTTCACCCTCACGAGCTTTTTTCAGGATCTCTTCGGAATAGGCATTAAAAAGAATTGGCGACAATACATATCCCTGTCTCACTCCACATCTAATTTCAATTTCTTCTGGCAGCTGTTCGTTAACACGTACTTTTCCTGTTTATAGTATAAATTTGATATGATCCTGAGGTCGTTGTAGTCAATCTTCTTTGATTTCAGGACATTAATTAATTGTTCATGTCAAACTTTATCGAATGCTTTATTATAGTCAATAAAACATGCGTATATATCTTGATTGACGTCCAGGCATATTTGTATCAGTATATTAAGTGAAAAAAGACTTTCGCACGTTCCTAGACCTTTGCGAAAACTAAATCGTGATCATTAACATCTATGTCCAGTTTGTGATTATGGTTATGGATGACTTTGAGTAGTAATTTAAGCACATGAGACATCAAGCTAATGGTACAGTAATCGCTGCATTTCTTAAATAACATTGTGCATTTTACCAGACTGAAACATGTTCTGGACATTCCATGTTCGTATTCTAGTGTTTTACAGTCTTGTGTCTGTCAAAAATAAATGTGGGAAGCAAGAAAAGGCAAAAAAAAATGAAAAAGCAAAATAATAAGGAAATGATGATAAGCAAATCAATAAAAACAGAATCACGAATCAAGAAAACGCAAAAATAGGCTAGAATATGCAAAACGTAAACGCAAAAAGTAGTGGGAGTCACAAAGTTGAAAAAAAATAGGAAGAAAGCAAGATAATTCAATACCAAAAACTATATACTATAATAAAAAAAACAATGACAGAAGAAAAATATAATAAAGATGCCAGAATGCAAGAAATTATAATCCATTTTCTACTTACCCTATAGACTCTTTGTCTTTCACTGTCAGATTCAAATGCTAAATATTCCTCCTCCTTTTCCAATTTTACCTTAATCTCTTCCCAAGGCAATTCGAAATCGATATTCATCTCTTTCAAGAGCTCCTTCAAATTTGTTTCCAACTTCTTCATCCGCTTACTCTCCTCTTTCAGTCTCTCTTTTTCTTTCACTTCAGCCTAAATAAAAAAAAACATATTAAATAATACATTGTAATTCACTAGTAACTAAAGAGTTTGTGTACCTTTTCTAGGAAGGAATTGTATGTCAGTTTCACATTTCCAGCATCTAATGCAGCTGACCTCTTGTCTTCGCAGATGACAGTAGCAAATTGATCGAAACTGGTATCAATTTGCACTTCGAAGGCTTTTTCTCTGAGAATATCTTTGATTACTTTCTTTTCGTCATGGAACCGAGCCTTCAGATCTTCGACATAAAATTTGAAGAGGTCTAAAGGAGTTGAACCGTTCTGGCCTAAAAAAAATGAAAACATTACTTACATCCTTTCCTATGATATTTTAATGCATGAAATGACACAAACAATGGGAGTGTAAGTCAGGCTCTCGAAATTTATTTAACATTTCTTTTAAAATGCTTTTTATATGTAATTTTGACAAGGTGATGATGACCAATAGTCTGAAACTACCTCTCAAATGGGAAGAATATAAATTTTTGAACACGGAATGGTTGAAACTTCATTGAACACATGTATTAGACTCCAGCAGTAGTGATTAAAAAGGAAAAATTACATTAAATATAATTTAAAGAAGCTAAACATTAAGCTAGAGCTATATTGGGCCCCTTTGACTACCCTATTATCAGTATATCTATTAATTTGTCAGTAAATTATGTAGAAATAAAAAGAATCTTACCTAACATAGCAGAAAACCGAATATCCGCTGATATAATAGGATACAACTCCACCCAAAGTGACATCGAAGTTAATTTCCCTTCTTCGTGTAAGTGATCCAAAAGAGATAGAAATTGATCCCTATTTTTCCTACACTGTCTCTTCATCCTCCTCTTTTCTCGTTCTCGCTCTTCAGCATATTCTTTCTCTAACACCCTGATATGTTCTTCAAAAACTATAAGGGCATCTTCTTTGTCCATGGCGAGCAAATTTACGTCGTTTTTGAAAGTGCTGTTCTCCAATAGAGACACCTGGGCCTCACTCCAAGTGGTATCAAAGTTAATTTTGGTCATACATTCCAAAACTTCGGAGAGTTTCTTCATGTTCCGCTTTTTCAGATTCTTGGCATCTTCTTTTTCACGTTTGGCTAATGAAAACATGACATCATCATAGATATCTCTTCTGTCTTGGTCGTTAACATTTTGCCATACCTGTACATAAAAAAATAGTTTATATAAAAGTTTCTTTCGAAATAAAAGCATGGCAGCAAAAAAATATATAAAAGTAAAACTAGATTAAAGATATTACCTCCTTTGTACTGAATAGTTCATCGCATCTGTAATATTTTGTGGTTGAAGATATAAGGTCAGTTGTAAGAAGGAACTCCTCCAGTTGTTCTTTATATTTCTTAGATTTTAACCTTTGTTCATCCTTTTCGTCTTTTTGTTTTTGTGTTTTATAAGCATTGAAAACCTTAAAGAAATAAATAAAATGCCATATTATTTTATTTTTTTGTGACTGCACAAATGGTGATGTTTGTGACAAAATAAGACTGCACTTATAAAAAAAACTTTATCAAAATTGAATATCATACCTGTTTTTTCTCATTTAACTTCTTGAAGGTCTCGTATCTAGGATCTGATGATATAATCTTGACACACTGTTCCCAGCTGGCGTTCGAAGGAACATTTTTCTCTTTCAAAAGTTCCTTAAATGCCTCAGTTGCTTCTTTCTTATTAGTAAATACTTTCGGCTCAGGAGTTGATGTACGAGACTCTTTTGAAACTTCAGCTTGAGGAGTACTGGAATCTTCATCTAATAAAAAGAAAACGGTACATTAATTCACTGGAAAGTTAAGGGTAGTCCTAATTTTTAGTTGAAGTATGTTAACCCTGCCACTTGGGGACTATCTGAACTTGGGGACCTTTTGGATGTTCTGATTGTTTAATCTTATCTTTAGTGTTCTACTAACGACCAATACCTTCGTCTTGTCTATATTAATCTTCAACCCCAGTCGTTCTCCTTCACTGTTTATTCTATCTATTAGTCATTGTAGCGCTTCTTGGCTATCAGTTATTATAACTTTATCATCAGCATAGCGAAGATTACTAATAGTCTGTCTGTTGATTTTAACAATGTATTATCCGCTGACAAGACAGTAATAGTTAGCAAATAATGTCACTTTATTCTAATCTTGGTCAAAAATAAGTTAAACAATGTGTGAAAACACTTACCTGATTTAGCAGGTGGATTAGGCAAAGAAATAGCTGCCAAAGTAGCAGCCATGGCAGCTTCTAGGGCACTTTTTCCACCTGGGCTTGCAGCTAAAATAAAATAAAATCAAAATAACTTTGGTATTTCTTATTAATTTGGTTAATACAAAAAATATTATCATCAAGAACTAAAACTCACAATATATAAGACTTCATAAGTTGTATTTCCTAAAAAAATTTACTTTTATGTCATTTTTTAAATAATTATTTATCTACATAATTAACACTCTTCAATTTTGTTAAAAATAACAATCTTTCATCTTTTAAAAAACATCTTTTGTTGCAGCTTATTAAACAAGACTAGTTTTGAAAGTGTTACCCTTTTCACAACATCTCATGTAATTTTATATATTTTAAAAAGAGAGATTGAGCACTTAAATTAATCTTAATAAAAGCATTGAATTTCTTGTACTTACTTGGTGAATTTGGTCCTGTAGAACCTGCTGATACAACAGGTTGTGAAACAGGCACTGGACTGTTGACCTCTCTTGGTGTGACAGTTCCAGAAGAAGGTTTTATACTAAAAATTGTAAATTATTAAATGAAGAACAGAATCATTATTGATCTACTTACTCTTCAGCTGCAATTTTCTTCTTAATTTCTTCCAATTCTGGAGGTACAGTCCAGCGTGACTCCTTTGAATTTACATTATGATAGTAGATCTTTCCATTATCTGCTGTATATTCTTTCCATGGACATTGAGACAACAGTAACTAAAATTGATTAGTTTTACTATAAACAATCTATAGAATCCACAAATGTTCCAGACGACTTTATCTGCTAGTTTGTGAGATAAAAGAAGGAAATTTACTAACATAAAGCAAATAAAAGTGTTGACTATCTACCCTAGACAAGTAAAAACCTAAATTAACAAAGCACAAAGCCAGTAACTTTCAGCAATAGAGCCTGTCAAATATACTTCCAATTCGGGAATTCTGAAGTAACCTAAATAATTAATTTTTATATTATAACATAAACAATTTTCGATTAACTTTAATAAAAATAAATGACATATCTATTTGTTATTTTGTTGTTTTAGTCAACAATCAATATACTTTATTGGCTGATTAGCCAAAAAAGCGTAAATAGTATTTATTGCTTACCTCAGCAGGTGTTTTTAATTGATCTGGTTTCTGCCATGAACTCTGTTTTGTAACAGAGTTATAGTAGTAGGTTCTCCCATCAGGAGCTTTATGTTCACTCCATTCGCTTCCTGGCACGATGGGCGCTACATTTGCAGGCACAACTCCAGGTGGTCCGAAGTTGTTAAAACCAGGAGGCGGAACAGTAAATGATGGAATCATGGGAGAAAACGGTGAGAGTCCTGCGATAGGCGCAGGAATCGGAACTTGTGGTAGTAACGGGGGAGTTCCTATACCCGGCGGGGCTACGAATGATTGCGGTGGAAGACCTGGATCCTAAAAATAATGCAAGCTTAGTTGGCGTAACATAACCTAAAGGTTTGTTTTTTAATTACCATATTCTTCAAATTATACAAAAGCAACTACGGTATGGCTGTGATTAATTGAGCATGCTAACTATTCCGAAAGTTTATTAGCACTTTTACGGTTTATTTTTGCAAAAATAAAGCACAAAAACAATTCGAAATCGGCAAATCAAACATGCAAACACAAAGTCACAGTATTACGTTATTGTCAACGGCCTCAGTATTTCTAAAGGTTAGTTCTTAAGCGTAGCACAAATTAGGCTGTTTTATAGGCTTTGATTCATTTGATGTTGTTTTTTAATAGCCTATAAACTTCACATTTTAGCATTTTTGAAAGAAACTGTCCTTAATTTGCATTTACATATGCCAATGTCATATGTCAATCGTGCAATGTTGCCACGAGTGTTATCACAGCATAGACACCAGATACATATCTCTGAATAGACACAAATGTTAGCAAGATTATAATAATTCTACTTATTAGAAACTTATGAAGGAAGCATAATAATTTATTATATAAACAAAGCATTTAAATACCAAAATGTGTGCTGTAAAATATGCTAAATTTAATGTATTATATATTCCAAGGTTCTAAAAATATTGTACATTGACTAATTTTTGAAGTTAAAAGAATGTTTCATATAAACAAGATATAATTATTTAAAAATATACTATAGTTTTAAAGTATTCATAGAACTTATAAATATTTTGTAATGTATCAAATTTAGCGTCATAGAATTTAAAATAAAATGTACTCATTTCAAATATGTCGAGAAAAAGTGTATTCAAACGGCAACATTGCAGTAGTTCGTTTGTCATCTTACGATCTTACAGTGGCGTAGATTTAAAAAATATATAGGGTGAAGGTTATATCTATTAATTAATTACATGTGTATTGTACTTGCCACCAACAAAAGTATATTTGTGAAATTTCAGGAAGGTTTATAAAAAAAGAACATTTTTTTGTCAAACACTATATTATTTAAGCTATAAAAAAACTAAGATTTCGTAGATGTTACAGTCGAATTATTTTCGGATTTTGGAGTAACGTAATCACCAGCATCTTTTCTAAGATTTTCTTCAAACTCCGCAGGTTCGATTAACTTTTTCGTACCGAACGGCGGAGGACCAAGCAACTTTTCGACATCGTCGTAATTTAAAGTTTCTTTGACCAACAAAGCCTCAGCTAAAGCCTCCAACAATTTTCTATTTTTTCGCAAAACGTTCTCGGTATGCTGGTACGCTCTAGCTACCAAGGTTCTCGATTCGGCATCTATGAGGTTAGTTAAGGTTTTACTGTAAGGCCGCCGTCCTAAATCTTTTTCTTCTTGTTCGGGAAAACTCACTAGACCGATATTTTCGTTCATACCGAACTCTTTTACTTGAGCATAAGCCATTTTTGTAACTTTTTCGAGGTCGTTCTGGGCTCCAGTGGTCACTCTATTAAAAACTACAGCTTCGGCAGCTCGGCCTCCGAGTATCATACACATTCTATCGAATAATTCTTCTTTGGTGTACAACTTTTGATCCCTTGGGATATATTGTGCGAAACCGAGGGCTAAACTTGTTCTAGGGACAATTGTTACTTTTAGAAGGGCGTCAGTGTGTTCCAGCAACCAACCTAAAACAAAATTGGGACAAATCAGATAAGAAATTACATAATACAGCTCTAGAAGCTAAATCATTTCACATTAATACATAAAGTAACTTGCTAGAATTGAATAAAACAAAATAAAAATTATACTTTGGCGACAAACTTAGAGAACTCTCTAAAGCAGCGGTTCTCAACCTTTTGGCACTGGCGCCCCCTTTAAACATTGAAGATAGCTCACGCCTCCCCTCAAGTCAATAATTGGTTGGTTCAAGTTAGAACAGTGAAATTATGAAACTGACGATGCTATTTTTACGTTAGTAAAAGCTGGGATGGAAGATTGTAAGACAAGCATTTATAAAAATGAAAACAATGTTTGTCAATCGAGACCTTCCTCTAGATCTAAGGATAAGAGCCTTAAGATGCTACGTGTTCTCGACTTTGTTGTATGGAATGGAATGCTGGACACTAAAAGTGGATAATATAAAGAGGTGGAATTATTTGAGATGTGGTGCTATAGAAGGATTTTGAAAATACCATGGATCCAACGAGTTACAAATGCAGAAGTGTTAAGAAGGTTCTGTTCTTCACAAGTTTTTCGATATTCGGTTGAACTTGTGTCAGAGCACACCTCAAGTCACTTTCAACGTCCAGCCTTGAACAGTGTTGAACAGACAGAAAGACTGTCGTGTTTAACTCAGGTTGTGTTTGAGTAAAACGATTTTAACCACGTTTAAATAAAGAAATATGTTTAAACAAAATAAAAATACGGAATATATATATTTTTTAATTTTTTTTTCTTTGTAACCTCACGCCTCCCCTGAAATTTTCTCACGCCACTCCAGGGGAGAACGCCCCCCAGGTTGAGAACCACTGCTCTAAAGAACCAATGCACTGAAAAGGAAATCCACAAGGTGATTTAACAATAGTGACTTAGCTGATATCTAGGCTTAAAAATGACGAAAAAAAAAACGATTATAAATATATTGCGGGTAAGTCCGACCTGTAGTGGAAATACATTCGAAAACCAAATGAGATAGATCCCAAACTTCAACGTAAGTTGTCATCAAACCAAACAGATTGACTAAAATTTACTACTTTCAGTTTAAGGATCAGTCTATAAATATAGTTTTAAGAAGCAATTGTATAAGTAAATAAATAGTGAAATAAATCGAATCGCCCATTTCATATCCCAACTTACTTACCAACTAAAGCATGTCCGGATTCGTGATAAGCGACAACTCTCTTTTCTTGAGGCGACATAGCATGGTTGCGTTTTTCTGTCCCGCCTACTAAACGTTCTACCGCATATTCCAGATCTTCCTTTTCGACTTTCTTCTTCTTCAAACGAGCAGCGTGAAGAGCAGCTTCGTTACAAACGTTAGCGATATCAGCGCCGCTAAATCCGGGCGTCAGATAGGCCAGCCGTTTGGAATAAGTATCGGGAGTCTGCTCCAACGCTATTCCTTTAAGATGTTGTTCGAATATCTGCTTTCTTTCGACGAGATCGGGGTAATCGATAAGTATATGCCGGTCGAATCTGCCTGGACGTAGTAAAGCTTTGTCTAGGATATCCGGTCTGTTGGTGCTACCTAACATTATCACGTTTTCCTTGCTGGCCATTCCGTCCATCTCCACCAGTAATTGATTAAGAGTTTGCTCGCTCTCGCCACTAATACCTTCTGCTCCTAATCTGCCACTGCGCTTGCGTCCTACAGCATCGATTTCATCGATGTAAATAATACATGGAGAGCGTTTTCTGGCTTCTTTGAACAAATCCCTCACTCTAGCTGCACCGAGACCTGAAAAGATTTTAAAGAATATAATTTGATGCATAAACCAGGAAAATAATGTAGTTTAATAAAACATCAGCCAAAATGTCCACAATCCTTGAGAATTGGAAATATTTTCAAACGTGAATTAAAACACTAGAATATGTTTCTATTTATATAAAAAAAAGGATTTTATTATAGATCAGTCTACATTTCAGAATTAAATAAAGCAATTCTAGAAATAACCAGTTTAATTCGTGTCACACTATAATTCTGATAAAATATCTTAAACAAAATTTTCAAACCATACTTACCCCCAATCATCTCGATAAATTCTGATCCATTCATTGACAAGAACGGAACATTAGCCTCTGTAGCAACTGCTTTGGCCAACATTGTCTTACCACAACCAGGTGGTCCTAGTAAAAGAGCCCCCTTGGGAACCTTGGCTCCTAACATTTTGTAGTGTTCAGGTCTCTTTAAATAATCAACAAACTCCATGACCTCTAATTTGGCTTCCCTCAACCCAGCTACATCTGAAAAGTGTACTCCTTTTCCTGGACCTTTTAGAGGATCTACCAGTGTGAATTTGGCTCGACCTAGCTGAGTTATTGAATCCATGCTGATTGGAGGACGAATACTTTTACTTCTTGCCAAGAACGATATCAAAAGTCCAACAATCAATAAAGAAATTAATAATTTGCCAGCTGTATCAGTGTTTCTTTCGTATATGACAGGTACACCATCAGTAATTCCTAAGCGCCTTTCTGCTTCCCTCAGTTTATCTTCAAATTTGTTGACGTCTACTACATTCATATGGTAAGTTCTATTTTCAACTCTCTTTCCTTTTACTACAGCACCTTCGTGGAGTACAATTGTGACAATCTCAATGTCTGGTCTCACTATTATTCTTTCCACTTCTCCCTTTGCCAACATTTGGTATAGAAATTCATTCCAGGACACATAGCGTACTACCTGTAAAAATAAAAAAAAATGTAGTAATACTATGGAAGAACAATCTTTGTTGAATTATAATAAACAAGTCGGGAGCTTGATGAACTTAAAATTGCTAAATATAAGATAAAAAAACATCTAACATTTTATTAATCAATCACACAATTAAACACTTTACTACAATTAAACATTAAAAAATAGAAAAGCAACAGAAGGAAATCAAATAAACTAAGATATGTAGATCTCTTGTTACATTTGAGAATGCTACATATTGTCTAAATCTTGAAATAAAGAATGATAGATCATTTTAAAAACTACATTATGGGTTTTCTTCTTGATAATGTGGTGAGAATAAATTGAACAATGGGACAGGTCTTAAAAGTCCCAAAAAAATTCCTGGAGTCCTCACATCTGGTAACTATGTTCCTTCTGGTTTAAGGATGAATCCCATTTTATTTGGGGTTAAAAGGTTTTTCTCATCTTCTCATGCCTTTTATGTTTCTTTAAAAAAAAAGGTCTAGACACTTCAAAATTGGAAAATATTATTAATCAATAGATCTTTTTCTTCTCACTATACCATTGTTTCAGTTTTCTTTAAAAGTAAAACCTAAAGGAAATATCCTAGTCTTCAAACTTGATACATAGGTTCCTGTGGTGTAAGGAAGAACTCTATTGAATTTGAAATCAATATGTCTTTCTTCTTGTTCCCATGCTCACTCTTTTTCTTGAAGGAAAGGTCTTAAAGAAAAATCACTAGAGTCTTCAAAACTTTGTACATAGGTTCCCCTTTGAATAAAGAAGAACTCTATTAAATTTGAGTTTAATAGGAATTATTTTTCTTTTTATATTCCCTTGTTTTACTTTTTTTCTTGAAAGAATAGTCCTAAAACTTAATTTTCCTTATTATATATATTGCATTTAAGGTAAATAGCTTTGCAAATATCCTAGTGCTTTCAAACCTGGTAAATAGGTTCACCTTGGTTTAAGGAAGAATCATAATGAATTTATGAGTTAATAAATTTTTTTCTTCTCTCATTCTTATACCTCTTTGTTA